ATTAAGGTGGTGGGATATAATTGGTTAGCTAATCATGTTACAATACGTTAGGATTGGTTAGTTAAATTTCAGTAGAAGGATTGGTTAAGGTATAGCTAAGAATAATACTATATAAATTAGGGGCAAACAGGAAGTAAGTTGGGATTCGAAAATAAGGAAAAAGGAACTTGTATTTAAGCTTGCTGGAAGTTCACCCCAATAAACATCGAATTGTTTGCACCTTCGGACTTCGGGTATTGTTGCTCTCTGTTCATGCGAGAAGGACCAGGGAAGTGGGAGAGTGAAGGAATAAGCTCTTTAACACCGTTAATGACTGCTTCTTGGAGCAGCTACTCCTGGAACCCACAGAAAGCCAACCCCTACTGAGGAAAACAGAAGGAGCATAAACTCTGGCAAGTCAGATATAATTAGTTAGTGTGATGGGGCAAGGCCAGATGGCTATAGAAAAGTAGTGGGAGATAGATATATTAGCTCCAGTCTAAACAAATCCCTAATACCAGGATAAGTGAAATGGAAGCTGCTCCAGGTCAATTAAGACACCTGGGGCCAATTAAGAACTTTCCAGAAGGCAGGGAGAATGCTAGGTTGATTGGGACACCTGAAGCCAATCAGGGGCTGGCTGAAACTAGTTAAAAGCCTCCCAGTCAGTCAGGTGGGTGTGCATGTCAGGAGCTGTAGAAGGAAGTTGTGTTGTTGGAGAGGCTGAGTAGTACACACCATATCAGGCACAAGGAAGGAGGCCCTGAGGTAAGGGTGAAGTGGAGCTTGAGGAAATAGCCCAGGGAATTGTACATGCCATGTTTCTAAAAGGTCAGCTACCATAGCTGATGCTATTAGGGTCCCTGGGCTGGAGCCCGGAGTAGAGCATGGGCCTGGGCTCCCCCCCCCCCCCACCTTTGCCCCCTGATTAATCACTGAGACTGGGAGACAACAGAGACTGTGCAAGGAAGGATAACTTCTCCTCACCTCCCTTGCTGGCTTATTATGAAAATGGCTCAGTAGACTGTGACCCTTGCCTCTAGAGAAAGAAGGGTTACGTGGAGGGTCACAGTGAGCCTCTGAGGCTAGTGAAATCCGCCAGGAAATGCAGGACCCACGGGGGCAAGGACAGAGCTTTGTCACAGTAGGTTGAAAAAGAATGTGAAGAACAACTAGCAAAAGACACAAAAACTAACAGCAAATGTTTTTTAAGTGCATCAGCAGCAGGAAGCCTAACAGACAATCAGTGGGGCACTGGATGATCAAGGTGCTAACAGAGCACTCAAGGAAGACAAGGCTGTTGCAGAGAAGCTAAATGAATTCTTTGCATTGGTCTTTACCGCAGAGGATGTAAGGGAGATTCCCACATCTGAGCCATTCTTTTTAGGTGACTGATCTGAGAAACTGTGTTAACTACTGCTGCTAAGCAATCAGTTCCACCTTGTATTTAGCTGTGACACTCTCAGTACATTTTCAAGAGCTGAAAGAGAACTCTGTGTCAGCCCAAAAGCTTGTCTCTCTCACAACCAGAAGCTGGTCAAATAGAAGATATCACCTCATTGACCTTGTCTCCCTAATGGGACCAATACATCTACAAGAACACTGCATACATCTTAGAGCTCTCAGCCATGTTGCCTTTGATGGAATTTGGATCTACAAACTTTGCAATTCATCATCATCCTCTAGTGGACACTGTAGGGAATGCAGTTCTGAAATTTCAGTTGGAGGTTAGTACCTGCTCATCAAGGTGTGTGGCTGGTGAGACTTGAAATCTGGTTGGAAGCCAAATCTGAGTTCCCTGGAACTTGGTCATCAAAGCCCAATACCCATGTGATTCCTCTTTCTGCTGACTCTCTTCTAGGCTGCAAAAGCAGCTGAATGCCATCACTGCCTGTCCCATGGGAAAGAGGTTTGAGAACATCAGTTCCCAAACTTGCTGAATATCAAGCCACAAAACGAAGTCACTGAACTGCCTTGTACTCCAGCTAACGTCATGTGGGTTCTGAAGGCCTCGGTCTTATTCACTTTAAATAGCGGGCACTAGGCAGGTACTCAAAGATCAGAAGGTGCCTAAGTATTGGCAGAATAGCTGCTGAGAAAGAGAGAGGAAGGAGGGCCCAGTGGTTAGAGCACTACCTTAGGACTTGCAAGGCCCAAGTTCATCTCCCTGCTCCACCACAGGCTGCCTGTGCAAACTTGGATAAATCACTTTGGCCCAGGTCTTCAAAGGTATATAGGTGCCTTAGTCCCACTGAAATCATTGGCCTCCTGCAGATTTTAGTAAGAGTTTGATACCTAAATACCTTTGAGGATCTGGGCACTAATTTCCCAGTGTTTCAGCTCTCCATTTGTAACACAGGGATCATAGTACTTCCCTACCTTACAACCTTGTGAAGATACATGCATTAAAGACTGTGAGCTGCTCAGCTACTGCAGTACTGGAGGCAGTATAAGTACCTAGCTACCTCACTAAAAATGGTGCAGTGTGGATACAGCAATGTGAGGTTCCGCACAAGCTGCCCCAGGTACATATCTGCTAATGTAGCCCCCGCTGCCACGTCATCAGTGCAATCTTTAGCAAGCTAACTTGATTAAAACTAGAGTATGTCTGCAAAAGCTCCAGATCGTACCCCCTACTGCAGCGTAGACAGACCTGAAGATTTGGAAGGTGTTAGTGTATACAAGGCTGTGTGCTTTTAAGGCTCAAAATGTAACCCTTCTGCCTGGTGATGTAAGCCAGATTCAAATATGTAGTGTTTTCTCTTAAAAATAACCAACATAATGACTCAAGCCCTCACCCAGAAACTTGGGAAAACAAAATATCTCCCTGGGCACCCTTAACAGGCAATACTTTGCTTCTGGCAAGCACCAAGTCTATGTATAAAACAAAGAAAATGATATTAAGGAGAAACAGAATACTGTATTAATTTGGGAATACACAACAACAAATCAACCATATATTTATATGAATTAATAAGTACAAAAGCCACCCCTATAGTGCCTTGGGCAGTAGTCCTTTGCCTCAGTTTCCCCACCTGCGGGGGTGCATATCCAGGGGAAAAATGTCCCTTTGGCACCTCGATTTAATTTGCTCCCCCTTCTCTTATGGAGCAACCCACTCAAGGCTGGTTGTCAGCGCTTAGTGAAGCACACTGCCTTGTCTGCATTACTCTATTAATGCATGTTAGCTAACACCTTCCAAATCCTCATCTAGACAAAGCCTAAAAGTGTTGGAGCAGATTGTGGACCATCAGAAGCAACTCCAGCTAGACTAAGGACTGGAATCCATCTGCCCTATGGGTAAATGGATGTTTTGTTGGCTTCCAAATTAGCTAATTAAATATGAATGAGTTTGTAAAGTGGGAAAGATGTTGTATGATGAGTGGGAGCAGAGAAAGAGGAGCAGGTTCCAGCATGGTATGTACTGATGATGGTCTACAGACTCTGGGGTGGGAGGATGTTAGTGTAAGCGGGAGAATGGTCCCGCTATTGTGGGGAAATTTCCTGGCTTATACACTACCCCAGTGAAGTGGGCTAGTGAAAAGATCTGAGTCCTCGCTCCCACTTCCTTTACCCAGAGGCCTGCCTGACCTCAAGGGCTCCCCTTACACACTCCTGTGTGGCAGAGTCTGCGTAATCCCAACAAGGCTGGGCCCAGGATTCCTGGTTGGCTCACCCCCAACCTTGTCAGGTCACTTAGGGCAGGGGCTAGGGTGTCCCCACTCCAGGGTGCTCTCTCTGCACTGGGCACTTCCCTGACCCACTGATCATTACATACAGTTCAAAGCAAATACAATTTATTAAACAGCAATCAATTTAAAAAAAAATGGGAAAGGTTAAAGGAAAACATGGCACCCTGCTCTGTGTCACAGGGATGTCACAACCAGCATCTCTGGAATGTAAGGGAAGTTCAGTCTGTTCTTCACAAGTTCCAGGCCTCCTTCTCAGGCCCTGGCTGTGCTGCAGGTCAGACACTTGCTCTGGCGGTGGCCACACGCTCTCAGGGTTTAGCTTTCAGAGTAGCAGGTTTAGGTGGCAGGACCCTTCTTCCCAGCATCACCCCTGCCCCATCAGGGTTACATTCCCCCACCAAGGCATCTTGGCTGGGGGTGTCTACCTGCACTGGGCCCACTGCCCAGGATCCCCCTTGCTCTCCCCCGCTGCTCACCACACCCAGCTCCGGACTGCTCCAGCCTCGGCTCCAGCTCCACCATTCTGCCACAGCACGGCTGCTGCTGCTCTGCCTCCAGCTCCCTGGACTGATTCTCTGGCCCCCCTGGCTCTGGTTGCTGCAGCTCTGCTCCCAGGACAGGTCTGCTCTGTGGGCTGCTTCTGTGACTCTGCTCCTGATTCTGACCTGTTTCCTGGGCTGCTTTTCTGGCCGGCACAGCTCTGCTCCCCAGCTCATCTTAGTCCCCTGCTCTCTCCTTAGCTCCGCCACACTCTGCCTGACCTAGGCAATTCCAGCTCACAGGAGGACGGGACCCTCCTGACTCCCTGATTAGCCTGCCCGCCTTGTCAGTCACGCTGACCTGGAGCATTGGTTTCGCCGCATTGTTCCTAAGGTCTGTCAGTCTCAGGGTTCTGATTTCCCATCAACCCTTCCCCTTTCTTTTAGTACTGGGAGCTAGCAACTAAAACACCCCCACTGAATGTTAGTAGGGGGGCAGTCCCCTTACATTAATTGGGGGGCTACCCTGTATTGCTGCATGGTGAGGAACAGTCAAGGATGAGCTTGGAACACCAGCTCTCACCATATGCTTAATAAAGCCTTGTTCCTTGCAGCCCTGCCTGCCCGGTTACATGGACTGTTGCTAATGAAAGGGGAGGTATCTCGCTCTGTCTACTCAGCCTACCGGAGTTGAGCTTCCTGTCAGACAGTGCTGCTGAGTGCCTCCATTGAGACCCGGAAGGAAGCCTGAACTGAACACCTCAGCTGCTGCTCCCCAGACCCCCTCTGTGCACAGCCGGGGAGGCCCCTGGGGCAGCCCGGGGCAGCTCTGCAGGTGAGGGGAGAGACCCGGGGAAGGGGCTGGGGCCGGGCATGAAAGTGACTCTGCACCAACGGCCCCTCCTCGCCCCAGCTCTGCTCCCGCAGGGGCCTGCGAGTCCCGGAGCTGCTGCCCTCCCTGACCCCCCCCCCCTCCCTCCCTAGGCTCTGCCCCCCTGAGCGCCTGCAGGAGCCGAGCCAGCGCCGGGCCCCAGTCTCCTAGCCCGAGGGAAGGGGAGAGGAGGCAGGAGGGAAACAGAAGCAATGGGAGGTAGGAGGGAGGTCCCCTGACCAGCTCCGTTCCCTGCAGCACCCCGGGCAGATTGACTTTCCTGGGACAAGGTGAGGAACAGGGAGAGGAAAAGCCAGTTCCTGCCTCTGCTGGTCCCCTCGCTGCTGGGGGGATGCACTGGCCTGGGTACAGTGTCAAGGGGGATCTTCCTATATTAATTGGCAGATACAGTGGGAAAGGGTGTTAGGAGACTGTGTCCTTTTCTCGTGGTAACAGCCTAGGAAAACCAGCTGAGGAATAGAATCATTTAATGTAAACAAAACAGGCTAACAGTTCTCCAGTGTTCCAGATAAACTACGAACATCAAAGGTCTGTTATGATGATGGTGATGTGTATTACAGTAGCACCTGGAGGTGCTGAGAGCAGGGCCTCATTCAGCTATGTGCTGCACACATGGTAAGAAAGAGTCACTGGAATCACTTCACAAGACATACAAAGGGTGGGAGGGGAACAGAAGGAAAGGAATTTGTGCAGGGTTACACAGGTGGTTAACAGCAAAGTAGAGAAAAGAACCTAGTGCTACCCAATCAAGAGTCCTAGCCACTAGACCACTCAAAGCATTTGTCTACATGGGGCCACCCAGGAAATTTGTGAATTTAAATTATGAAGTCATGAATTTAAAACAGATTAATTAAATAGCACTAAACCTATGTATGGACACTTGCATTCAGACTAAAGTGGCCTTAATTCTGTTTAGTTTAATTTGCTTTGGGACACTTAAATTCTGAATAAGGATGTCCACATGGGGTTTAATGCATTTTCATTAACAAACCCTATTTGCATAGGCTTATGTGTGCAGGCTGTATTTTTGTTGCCTTTCTTTAATTTGCCTCATAAGAACGGCCATACTGGATCAGACCAAAGGTCCATTTACCCAGTATCCTATCTGTCGACAGTGGTCAATGCCAGGTGCACCAGAGGGGATGAACAGAATAGGCAATCTTCAAGTGATCCATCCCCTGTCACCCATTCCCAGCTTCTGGCAAACAGAGACTAGGGAGGGACACCATCCCTGCCCATCCTGGCTAATAACCGTTGATGGACCTAGCCTCCATGAATTTATCTAGTTCCTTTTTGAACTCCTTCAATAACCCCTGAGGAGCATGGTTTAGGGCCTGTCTGCTGAAATAAAGTGACCAACTGTTTTCTCAACCAGGCAGAATTTAAAGCATATGCAGGGTGAGAGTCTGGGGGAAGTGGGGTGTGAAAAGGACTAAAGCCCTTTCTGAAACCTCCCCAGTCACCCTTCTCACCCTGACAAGCTGCAGAATAACATCCGTGTTTTGCTCTACATCACTTCACTCTGGCAGGGGAAGGGAAATGGCTGCAGTGGAGCTGGAACAGGTAGGAGATTTTCAGAGGTTCCTCTTATAGATGGAGGGGACACAAAACACACAGGTGTGATTGGGTCAAAAGCTACTAGGCCCATTTAATATGGGCTTGGTTTTAAGAATAGGTGCATTGGTCTGGGATGGAAATTTTCCCATCTGTGGGACAGGAGCTAACCCTCAAAAGTGCCCTGGAGCTACTGCCCAAGAAGCAGCGTCTTGCCTCTCTGTGCAGGACAGGGGCTGCTGCGATGGTTTCCAGTCATGGGTGAATTTCTGGCTGAACCTCTCAACTGTGGAGAGATCTAAATGTGGGCACTGTAGCTCACAATGGGAGGGAGAAGAGCTGGTTGGATTTTCCCATCAAATATGTAATTCAGTTAAAAATGAAGTTCTCTGTGAGGACATGCTGATTTCAACTTTTTTTTACATTTTATGTTTGGATAATGAACAGGAAGACATTTCATTTCAATATTTCCAATAGGTTTTTTTTTCTAAACTTTTCTTTGCCCCCAACCTTTGGCTATTTCAAAGTTTGCCCCAGTGAATCTCCCACAGGATGGAAGTGCTGTTTTCTGAGCAGTTCTAGCAGGGAGGTGAGAAGATGGGAAGCAAAGAGCAGTATTCCTATGGTGACAGTTTCATGGCCTGATTCCTGGTGTAGATAATTTACAGTAAAGGCAGGGGAGAGCAGCAGGTTTTTGAAGGGTATAATGTCATCTGTGATAAGTGGCACCACTAGGAATAAGAAACGAGTTTGGAAGTACAATTGCAAATGTTGTGTAAGGGCACAACATATTGGAAACTGGGGCAAAGGGGACAATCTGTGGCCCATGTGACTGACCTGGTGGGGTTTTCATTGGAGCAGAGTACTAGCAGCTGTTGTTTCAGGGACTGGTGACCTTCACAGAGGTGGCTGTGTATTTCTCCAAGGAAGAATGGGCTCTTCTGGACCCTGATCAGAAAGCCCTCTACAGGGACGTCATGCAGGAGAATTACGAGACACTGACCTCACTGGGTAAGGAGCCGTTTCCTCAGATCATGACTAGTCAGATTAGACAAGTGTTGCCAAGGGGTAAGAAAGATACAGACTTGCTGGGGATCTGCCCGTGGTGGGTGCTGTTAAGACACTTTGCGGCCTACTCATTGGTGTGTTAGTGTAACCTACTGGTAAATGTATGCTACAGCTCCTCTTCAGTGCCCATCCCACAGAGGATATCAATCTGCCATAGCCCCAGATAAAGAGCAGCTCCTGATTTTAGCTCGGGAGGTCACCATTTCAGTCCCTGCTGTTCAAGATGGTGGCTGTCAAACTAGCAGTAGCAGGCAAGCTCCCTGGAATAAATCACAGGTGCAACCATGTCTATACATTTGTGGGAGCAGGATCTGGCGCAGCTTCCTCCCTGCTGCTGGGCAGAAACAGTAAAATCAAGCACATCCCTGAACCACCATCTGAGTCAGGCTGGGAGGAGACACACCCTGGAGTGGCTGACTGCGTGAGCATCAAAAACCACCTCTTCACTCAGCCATTACAATAATACTGTTCCACTATCATCCACCCAGCGTAGGACCACATGCTATGTATGGGATCTGATACCCAATCACTGTTGGTGGTCACTCACTCACACTCACTCTCTCTCTCTCTCCACTGCTCCATCCTTAGAGATGTAGCTGTTTATTCTTAGCATTGGGATAGTGGTCTAACATTGCTGCTGTCACAGAGTCATTAAATCCAGGGGTGCGTGGAGATCCCCGAAATCTTACAAGGGGCCCACTACAACTCCCAAGAGACATCTTATTGTCCCCAAAGCCTCTGCTAACATTTTCCCATCTGTTCCCATGAAATGTCACCTCTTCCCCAGGAATGTTGTATAGCAGCCATACCTTCATTTTGTTTCTTCTCAGGACACCCAGGGCTGTGAGTTACCCTGTCGCTATCTGCCTCCAGCGCAAAGATGACTTGTCAGTACTAGCTGGGTGTTAGCTCCCTAATACAACCAGCCTCTCAGTCACGCATGCACTCTGCTCTTTGTACTGCAGGTTGACAACAGATGTACTCCAGCCCCCAGGTCAGCTCAAAGTGTCCCCCTAAGGTGTCCCGTCCCTGATTACTAGATACCCATAGAAATGCCAGAGGAACACTGCCCCAGTTTACCAGTTAAACCTTAGCCTACCGCTTCTTTATCGCACACAGATCTTGTGTTCAGTTTTTGTAAAACAAAAGGAAATTTATTCAAGGAAGAACAGAGATTCAACTAGAAACAAGTGTGAGTGATGTACACAAAGGGTTACATTTCATACAGAATCCTAAAACATGAATTTGAGCCTACCCTTATCAATAGTTACCTTTCCTATCTAATAAAGTAGGGATTCTCTCCCCAAAGTTCAGTCCTTTGCAGCAGTTGCTAGCCACAAGGAACTCTGATCCAGTCTTTCATGAAGCAGCCCTGCCCATCAGGGTACCTCCTCAGTGAATGGATGCAGAGTGACTATCTCCACCCTGAGATACACTAAACCAGTTTGTGTCTTTATTCCCAGACAGGGCGATCCCCTCTCTGTCATATCATTCCTTTTCACTTCCAAATGACTTTGATATTTATAGTTTTTTCCATTGACTTTTCTGGGTTGGTGCAAAGGTAGACAAATGAGTCTTGCATTATATCACCAGCTGACCTGGGATGGGCACAACTCCCTCCCCCTTGAATGGGCTATCACAGAGGTATATTATTGCCTTTTAATTCACTCTCACTTCATAATCCTGAAGCCATATTGTCAATATACAGTAGTTACATTATTCCTGAAATATTACATCTTGTGGTAGTTATGAGTGGAGCTTTCAGTGGAGACCTCACATGCTTCCCTTTATGGATAAATACCATGAAACAGCAGTGTATCAGGTGTAGTGAGTTTGTCAGGTCTGAGGCAGGAGTTGCTTGTATAGAACAGCGAACCCTTTGCCAGTTGGCATCAATGGTCCTTTGTGTCACACTAACCCTATATTTTTTCTGTGGGTAGGATTTGTTACTCCTAAACCTGACTTGGTCTCACAGCTAGAACGAGGAGAGATGTCATGGGTCCTGGATCTCCAGGGCTCTGAGAAAAGGGACATGCTGACAGGAACCTGCATAGGTGAGGAATCAGATAAACTGACTGAGAAACCATGGAGGGGTGAACAAAACAGCTGGGATTCCCACTGAGTCCCTGTGAACTCCCCCAATTCCGCCTCATTTCACCCAGGACATGACTGTCCCCAGCCCATTCATATCCTCAGGGCAGACATCCCTCATGGCTTGCCACCCACCCTGACTGACGCCTGGCACTAGCTCCCTCCCGCTGAGTGTTTGAATGAGGTGTAAAGGCAGAATTGGTTCCATCCCCCGCAGTTATTTGGGTTTGTTCTTCACATTCCCCTTTCTGAGGTTCCCTGTCCGGATTCTCTCTCTGTCCCAGCAGGTGATGGGACAGTGAATAACAACAAGGAGGAGAATTCTCAGCAGGAAGGTGCTGAGCAAGTTGAACCACAGGGGATGGTATCGGGAAGATCAGAAGGGGATGTTTCCCAGACTTCTGAGCTGGGAGAAGCCTGTCAGACACAGCTCAGGCCAGAGAGGCTGCAGAGAAACCTCTCTGGGGAGACATGGGGAAAATCCAGTCACCGTGGGAGAAGTCTCAAAGGCATCCCACTCCGTCAGGCAGCCCACTTGGGAGAGGGGCCAAAGACACGTGGTGACTCAGGGGAAAGCTACAATAGCATCTCACACATTATTAGTCAGCAGAGAATCTGCAGAGCAGGAAAATCCAAGAAATGCACTGACTGTGGAAAAAGTTTTGCTTATAAATCGGAACTTGATAGACACAATAGAATCCACACCGGAGATAAACCCTATAAATGCCTCAACTGTGGGAAAAGCTTCACTCTGAGCTCTACCCTGATAAAACATCAGAAAACTCACACGGGGGAGAGACCCTATAAGTGTCCTAACTGTGGGAAAAGCTTCCGTCAGAGCTCACACCTTGCTAGACATGAGGGAACCCACAGGGAAGAAAAGCCCTTTAAATGCCCTGACTGTGCAAAGCGTTTCAGTTGCAGCGCAAATCTTCTTACCCATCAGAGAATCCACACAGGAGAGAAACCCTATAAGTGTCGACACTGTGGGAAAAGCTTCACGCACCACTCATACCTTCTGGGCCATCAGAGAATCCACACAGGAGAGAAACCCTATAAGTGTCGACACTGTGGGAAAAGCTTCACGCACCGCTCAAACCTTAGTACACATCAGAGAATCCACACAGGAGCGCAACCTTGCAAGCCTAAGGGCTGTGGGAAAAGCTTCAGTGTGAGTGCAGACATGATTGGCCAGTAAAAGCTGGATGGGAGACTGGATTGGGATAGAAACCATCTTCAACAAAGACTGTATCTTGCTAGGTTAAGTTATAGTCTTTTAGATGCATTTTCACTTTTATTTGCTTGTAACTGTTTCCGACTTTATCCCTTTTACTTGATATCACTTAATCCATGTTCTTTTGTTCAGAAGCTTGTTTGGCTTCATTCTAAATCATCACTGCTGTGTAAGTTCAGTAAAGTGTGTGCTTCTAGAAAGGAGACAGGGTTCCTGAGGGTTCAGTGAGAGGGTCTGGTCCCTGCTGTAGGATGGTTTTGGGGTGAATTCAGGGCTGGAAGGGTACTGAGGTCAGTCTGCAAGGAGTAACTGGGTTGGGCAAAAGGAGGGTGAAGCTTATGGGCTGCTGGCAGGCTGTTGAGGGGGTCAGAACTCTGGCCCAAAGCTACAGAGCCACAAGACATCCGGAGGTACAAGGGAAACAGAGACTGAATCCCTTACTGGCCTGGGTGAACTCCTGTCAGGGTTCCTTTCCCACTGTGAACTCAAGGGTACAGATGTGGGGACCTGCATGAAAGACCCCCTAAGCTTATTCTTACCAGCTTAGGTTAAAAACTTCCCCAAGGTACAAACTTTGCCTTGTCCTTGAACAATATGCTGCCACCACCAAGCGTTTTAAACAAAGACCAGGGAAAGAGACCACTTGGAGACGTCTTCCCCCAAAATATCCCCCCAAGCCCTACACACCCCCTTTCCTGGGGAGGCTTGAGAATAATATCCTAACCAATTTGTTACAAAATCATTAAAGACCCAAACCCCTGGATCTTGGAACAATGGAAAAGTCAGTCAGGTTCTTAAAAGAAGGATTTTATTTAAAAAAAAAAAAAGAAAGGTAAAATCAGGATGGAAGATACTTTACAGGGTATTCAGATTCAAAACACAGAGGATTCCCCCTCTGGGCAAAACCTTAAAGTTACAGAAAACAGGAATAAAACTCCCTCTTAACACAGGGAAAATTCACATAAAACAAAAGATAAACTAATCCGCCTTGCCTGGCTTACCTATACTGGTTGCAATATTGGAGACTTGGATTAGGATGGGTTGGAGAAGATGGATTTCTGTCTAGCCTCTCTCAGTCCCAAGAGAGAACAACCACGTAAACAAAGAGCAGAAAACAAAAGCCTTCTCCCCTCCCAAGATTTGAAAGTATCTTGTCCCCTTATTGGTCCTTTGGGTCAGGTGCCAGCCAGGTTAGCTGAGCTTCTTAACCCTACAGGATCTTGCCTCTGGCCAGGAGGGATTTTATAGCACTGTATACAGAAAGGTGGTTACCCTTCCCTTTATATTTATGACAACTCCAAACCAGCACACTTGGCAGCCCACTATCCTCAAAAACATCTCCATTCCCCCATGAATAAGATCCTTTCTCTGCTCATGAGTCTAAACACCCACTCTGGGAAAACCCAAAAAAGTACATTTTGGGACTTGGTCAATAAATGTGGACTGTCTGTCTGGCACCACACCTACAAACACTAGCTGAGTCACAAATCCTGGGGCATCTCCAAGTGCTTCTTCATTGACTCTGGTACAGTGGACAGCTTTATCAAAACTGAAGCAACTTGGGCACTATAGGTTTCAGAGTAGCAGCCATGTTGCCCTGGTCTACACTAGGACTTTAGGTCGAATTTAGCAGCGTTAAATCGATTTAAACCTGCACCCGTCCACACAATGAAGCCCTTTATTTCGACTTAAAGGGCTCTTAAAATCGATTTCCTTACTCCACCCCTGACAAGTGGATTAGCGCTTAAATCGACGTTGCCGGCTCGAATTTGGGGTACTGTGGACACAATTCGATGGTATTGGCCTCCGGGAGCTATCCCAGAGTGCTCCATTTTGACCGCTCTGGACAGCGCTCTCAACTCAGATGCACTGGCCAGGTAGACAGGAAAAGAACCGCGAACTTTTGAATCTCATTTCCTGTTTGGCCAGCGTGGCAAGCTGCAGGTGACCATGCAGAGCTCATCAGCACAGGTGACCATGATGGAGTCCCAGAATCGCAAAAGAGCTCCAGCATGGACCGAATGGGAGGTACGGGATCTGATCGCTGTTTGGGGAGAGGAATCCGTGCTATCAGAACTCCGTTCCAGTTTTTGAAATGCCAAAACCTTTCTGAAAATCTCCCAGGGCATGAAGGACAGAGGCCATAACAGGGACCCGAAGCAGTGCCGCGTGAAACTGAAGGAGCTGAGGCAAGCCTACCAGAAAACTAGAGAGGCGAACAGCCGCTCTGGGTCAGAGCCCCAAACATGCCGCTTCTATGATGAGCTGCATGCCATTTTAGGGGGTTCAGCCACCACTACCCCAGCTGTGTTGTTTGACTCCTTCAATGGAGATGGAGGCAATACGGAAGTAGGTTTTGGGGACGAAGAAGATGATGATGAGGAGGTTGTAGATAGCTCACAGCAAGCAAGCGGAGAAACCGGTTTTCCCGACAGCCAGGAACTGTTTCTCACCCTAGACCTGGAGCCAGTACCCCCCGAACCCACCCAAGGCTGCCTCCTGGACTCAGCAGGCGGAGAAGGGACCTCTGGTGAGTGTACCTTTTAAAATGCTATACATGGTTTAAAAGCAAGCATGTGAAAGGATTACTTTGCCCTGGCATTTGCGGTTCTGCCTTTGCAAAAGGTTTCTGGGGAGGGCAGCCTTATTTCGTCCTTCATGGTAGGACACTTTACCACTCCAGGCCAGCAACACGTACTGGGGAATCACTGTAGAACAAAGCATTGCAGTGTATGTTTGCTGGCATTCAACCAAAATCCGTTCACGCGGTGGGAGGAGGCAAAATGCGACCTTGTAACGAAAGCACATGTGCTATGTATGTAATGTTAACAGCAAGGTTTACCCTGAAAGAGTGTAGCGACTGTTTTATAAAATGTGTCTTTTTAAATACCGCTGTCCCTTTTTTTTTCTCCACCAGCTGCATGTGTTTCAATGATCACAGGATCTTCTCCTTCCCAGAGGCTAGTGAAGCTTAGAAAGAAAAAAAAACGCACTCGCGATGAAATGTTCTCTGAGCTCATGCTGTCCTCCCACACTGACAGAGCACAGACGAATGCGTGGAGGCAAATAATGTCAGAGTGCAGGAAAGCACAAAATGACCGGGAGGAGAGGTGGCGAGCCGAAGACAGTAAGTGGTGGGCTGAAGACAGGGCTGAAGCTCAAATGTGGCGGCAGCGTGATGAGAGGAGGCAGGATTCAATGCTGAGGCTGCTGGAGGACCAAACCAGTATGCTCCAGTGTATGGTTGAGCTGCAGCAAAGGCAGCTGGAGCACAGACTGCCACTGCAGCCCCTCTGTAACCAACCACCCTCCTCCCCAAGTTCCATAGCCTCCACACCCAGACGCCCAAGAACGCGGTGGGGGGGCCTCCGGCCAACCAGCCACTCCACCACAGAGGATTGCCCAAAAAAAAGAAGGCTGTCATTCAATAAATTTTAAAGTTGTAAACTTTTAAAGTGCTGTGCTTAAAGTGCTGTGTGGCATTTTCCTTCCTTCCTCCACCACCCCTCCTGGGATACCTTGGTAGTCATCCCCCTATTTGTGTGATGAATGAATAAAGAATGCATGAATGTGAAGCAACAATGACTTTATTGCCTCTGCAAGTGGTGATTGAAGGGAGGAGGGGCGGGTGGTTAGCTTACAGGGGAGTAGAGTGAACCAAGGGGCGGTGGGGTTCATCAAGGAGAAACAAACAGAACTTTCACACCGTAGCCTGGCCAGTCATGAAACTGTTTTTCAAAGCTTCTCTGATGCGTACCGCGCCCTCCTGTGCTCTTCTAACCGCCCTGGTGTCTGGCTGCGCGTAACCAGCAGCCAGGCGATTTGCCTCAACCTCCCACCCCGCCATAAACGTCTCCCCCTTACTCTCACAGATATTGTGGAGCACACAGCAAGCAGTAATAACAGTGGGAATATTGGTTTCGCTGAGGTCTAAGCGAGTCAGTAAACTGCGCCAGCGCGCCTTTAAACGTCCAAATGCACATTCTACCACCATTCTGCACTTGCTCAGCCTGTAGTTGAACAGCTCCTGACTACTGTCCAGGCTGCCTGTGTACGGCTTCATGAGCCATGGCATTAAGGGGTAGGCTGGGTCCCCAAGGATACATATAGGCATTTCAACATCCCCAACAGTTATTTTCTGGTCTGGGAATAAAGTCCCTTCCTGCAGCTTTTGAAACAGACCAGAGTTCCTGAAGATGCGAGCATCATGCACCTTTCCCAGCCATCCCACGTTGATGTTGGTGAAACGTCCCTTGTGATCCACCAGAGCTTGCAGCACTATCGAAAAGTACCCCTTGCGGTTTATGTACTCGGCGGCTTGGTGCTCCGGTGCCAAGATAGGGATATGGGTTCCGTCTATGGCCCCACCACAGTTAGGGAATCCCATTGCAGCAAAGCCATCCACTATGACCTGCACATTTCCCAGGGTCACTACCCTTGATATCAGCAGATCTTTGATTGCATGGGCTACTTGCATCACAGCAGCCCCCACAGTAGATTTGCCCACTCCAAATTGATTCCCAACTGACCGGTAGCTGTCTGGCGTTGCAAGCTTCCACAGGGCTATCGCCACTCGCTTCTCAACTGTGAGGGCTGCTCTCATCTTGGTATTCATGCGCTTCAGGGCAGGGGAAAGCAAGTCACAAAGTTCCATGAAAGTGCCCTTACGCATGCGAAAGTTTCGTAGCCACTGGGAATCGTCCCAGACCTGCAACACTATGCGGTCCCACCAGTCTGTGCTTGTTTCCCGAGCCCAGAATCGGCGTTCCACAGCATGAACCTGCCCCATTAGCACCATGATGCATGCATTGTCAGGGCCCATGCTTTCAGAGAAATCTGTGTCCATGTCCTGATCACTCACGGGACCGCGCTGACGTCGCCTCCTCGCCCGGTATCGCGTTGCCATGTTCTGGTGCTGCATATACTGCTGAATAATGCGTGTGGTGGTTAATGTGCTCCTAATTGCCAAAGTGAGCTGAGCGGGCTCCATGCTTGCCGTGGTATGGCGTCCGCACAGAAAAAAGGCGCGGAACGATTGTCTGCCGTTGCTCTGACGGAGGGAGGGGCGACTGACGACACGGCTTACAGGGTTGGCTTCAGGGAGCTAAAATCAACAAAGGGGGTGCCTGTACATCAAGGAGTATTTCAGGCAGGACTGCACGGAGGGTTCCAATAAGAAATGGTGCACCTAAGTTATCGTTGTTATTGGAACAAGGAGGTTAGCCTGGCCTCTGATTGATACATGGCTAGATTTACCTCGCTGCACCTTCTCTGTGAGTGACTGCAGTGTGACCTAGAGGAATGAGTCCCCTAGACAGGGGAGGAGGCAAATGAGTACAAAACAAATCTGGTCTATTTCTTGTTTTGACCCACTCCATCTATCTTTTACATCTTTGGCTGGCAGCAGACGGTGCAGAAGGACTGCATGCCATCCACATCTCATGGCTGCTCGGCAGAAGATGGTACAGTACGACTGCTAGCCATCCCCATCTCTTGCCTGCCTGGCAGAAGATGGTGCAATACGACTGCTAGCAATCCTCATCTCTTGCCTGCCTGGCAGAAGATGGTACAGTACGACTGCTAGCAGTCCGTATCGCCTGCCCGCTCACCATAAGATGGTTCAATAGGACTGACTGCAGGACTAAAGAGAATGACCTGGTCAAGTCACTCCAAATTTAGTCCCTGCGCCCATGTCTGCCCAGGCGCTCCCAGCCGACGCGGCCAGGAGCACCTCGGACACGATGAGGACGACTACCAATCGTATTGCACCGTCTGCTGCCAGAAGGCAAGGGGTTGCTGCTACTGTGCAGCAAAGCCGTTCCGCGTCTGCCAGCACCCAGGAGACATAGGGTGACGGTTACCTGAGCGGGCTCCATGCTTGCTGTGGTATGGCGTCTGCACAGGTAACTCAGGAAAAAAGGCGCGAAATGATTGTCTGCCCTTGCTTTCACGGAGGGAGGGAGGGAACGGGGGCCTGACGACACGTACCCAGAACCACTCGCGAAAATGTTTTAGCCCCATCAGAGTGCTCCATTGTGACTGCTCTGGACAGCACTCTCAGATGCCCGATTGTTTGCCATTGCTCTGACGCTGGGAGGGGCGCTTACAGGGTTGGCTTCAGGGAGCTAAAATCAACAAAGGGGGTGGCTTTACATCAAGGAGTATTTCAGGCAGGACTTCACGGAGGGTTCCAATAAGAAATGGTGCACCTAAGTTATTGTCCTTATTGGAGCAAGAAGGTTAGCCTGGCCTCTGATTGATACATGGCTAGATTTACCTCGCTGCACCTTCTCTGTAAGTGACTGCAGTGTGATCTAGAAGAATGAGTCCCCTAGACAGGGGAGGGGGGGAAGCAAATGAGTACAAAACAAATCTGGTCTATTTCTTGTTTTGATCCACTCCATCTATCTTTTACATCTTTGGCTGGCAGCAGACGGTGCAGAAGGACTGCATGCCATCCACATCTCATGGCTGCTCGGCAGAAGATGGTACAGTACGACTGCTAGCAGTCCGTATCGCCTGCCCGCTCACCATAAGACGGTTCAATAGGACTGACTGCAGGACTAAAGAGAATGACCTGGTCAAGTCGCTCCAAATTTAGTCCCTGTGCCCATGTCTGCCCAGACGCTCCTGATCGACCTCACAGAGGCGACCAGGAGCACCTCAGACATGACGATGACGGCTACCAGTCGTACTGTACCGTCTGCTGCCACAAGGCAAGGGGTTGCTGCTACTGTGTAGCAATGCCGTACCGCGTCTGCCAGCACCCAGGAGACATAGGGTGACGGTTACCTGAGCGGGCTCCATGCTTGCCATGGTATGGTGTCTGCACAGGTAACTCAGGAAAAAAGGCGCGAAATGATTGTCTGCCCTTGCTTTCACGGGGGGAGGGAGGGAACGGGGGGCTGACGATATGTATCCAGAACCACCTGCGACAATGTTTTAGCCCCATCAGGCATTGGGATCTCAACCCAGAATTCCAATGGGCAGCGGAGACTGCGGGAACTGTGGGATAGCTACCCACAGTGCAACGCTCCGGAAGTCGACGCTTGCCTCGGTACT